TGAATACACTTCTACAACGTGATGCTGGACCTCCTAATGCATATGGTCTACCTAAAACCAACAAAGAGGGAGTCCCACTTAGGATCATTGTAAATAATAAAGATGGTGTGATGCATAAAACATGACGATTCCTTTGTGGTCAAATAAAGTTGATCTCAGGTTGTTGGAAATTTTCAATAAAGAATTCTTATGGCTTTATAAAGTTAATAGAAGAGCAAACAATAGAACAAGAATATTTGATGTTATATTGATGTACTCGAATGTACCTATATGTGGGGCCATACAGGCACTAGGATTAACTTTAGAGCTACACCGAGATAAAACAACATAAAATAGGATGAGCAAGTATTCAATCATGCGACTGACGAACTTAATAACGAATGTATGAAGACCAAGATGGTGTGGCGAAAACAAGGTCAAACAACCTCTTAATAACGAATAGCATATATTTCATATTTGATGGTAAATTATACGAACAAACACGAGGGTTAGCTATGGGATCGTGCTTGCCTCACATTTTAGCTAATAACTACATGGTTCAATTTGAAGTCCGGCTTTTCAAGAGTCACTCCTAGTTCCAAAACTATTGGTCAGATATATGGATGATTATTTTTTTTTTAATCTGTCAACATGACGGAGAGTGTTTGGATGACTTCCTTGGGTTAATGAATAAAGTAGATAAAACGAATAAATTAACTACAAAGTTAGAAAAAGAGAATAAGTTACCCATTTACATATCCTAGTTAGTAAAGAAGGGAGCAAACTGGGTAGAGATGTATATAGGAAACCCACAAATGCTGGTTTCCTTATAATTTCTTCTCGAACCATACTTATGGTGTTAAGGTAGGTATAATGAAATCAATGCTAATAAGGAGTTTACGCCTAGCGAACGTAAATCATCAAGAACAATAGTTAGAATGGCTGATAAAAATCTTAGTTGAGAACAATTAATGTATAGGATTACTTGTTATTAATTTCAAAATATTGAGAAATACGATGAAGGAAAACCATTAATTTGGCTAAAACAAGGAATTAAACAATTCTTCGGCCAGGCTCCTAATGCCAACATCCTTCAAGATTTCAGGAAAGATAGGTGAATTATTGATGAAATGGAGTGTCAAGACAATGTATAAAGAAACAATAACGCTTTCCTCGATCATGCCTTCATTTAGAGAATCTTCCGACGCCCCATGCATATCAGGTTGTTATAAGATTTTGTGCTAATGTGGTAGTGTTTATATGGAAGAGACTTGTCTACCCATACCTAAGACGCTATCAGAACACAGAACCTCATGCAAAGTTTTATGGATTCAGAAATCGGAAGTGGCTAAACATGTAGTCGCTACAGGACACCAGGTCGAGTGGTCTAAATCCCAACGTTTTGCCGGATATGGGGACTTGACAGCTAAGCGGAAGATCAGAGTCGATTGAAATTAACAAAACAAACAACATCCTGAATAAAATGGATCAATGTATGATACTAAGAAAGAACTTTGTCTGGCTTCTGAATAGAGTGAGGGAGATAGAAGGAAAGGGAACAGGAAGGGCCATTGAGTAAGATGAGAAGACTAGACTTAGCTGTAGCTTCTTTTTGAATCTAAAATTGTCAACCAACTCGAAGTTGTTGCATCACGCAAACACGCATCCACGAAGCTGTAACAAGACCCAGGGCAACTGGATCATACTCTAGTTTATTTACATTGACAAAAGTTGTGACCACATTCCCCCTTTGACCCACTTACATGCATGTAGGACAAACATACGTCAGCCAATCAAATCATGGAATGCCTCATTACGATCTCAAAGTGAGGTATAAGAAGTAAGTAGGATCTCAGCTGACTACGCTTTCTCGGTTTAGTGATTTTTGGTGATTTTTTGTGAACAATGGTTTCCCTCTCTGACGATGTCCGTCGCAGGGCGAAGGAAATCCCAGCACGGGGGTCATTGGGGTAGTAAGACGGTGAGCCGAGGTCTTCTTCGCATAATTCAACAGACAAAAGTCTAAGGAAACCCTTCTGTGATATCTGATGAGGCCAATCCACAAATCCCTTCGATTTGCCTTCTCAAACGCCAGTATAAATCTATTAAGGGATTATTTGACACCCAGCTTCTCTTCATAGCTCAAATACTAATTGTCTTATATATTAATTAAATGATTATCGGAATCGAAGACCCTTAAGCAGCCAGATAGACAGTAAGTTCCATTTTTAGCATGGAAAAATTGACAAGCGGTATATAGGGGGACTAAATGAAAGTCTTAATGCCTGCGAACGGCCTATAAAACTGATTGAGAAGGTGACTATATTTCACTAGGTCCACTTTAAGCGACGCTTTTAAGCAATATTAGAGGAAACACAAACAAAAGATGGTGTGAATAGGTAAATGGGCCATATTTAATGGGGTTGAAAGAAAGAGATGAAGCAAGAAAAGCTAGGACAAAAATGGGGGAATAGTGATACCAGAATGGTTAAAAAGGAAATTGGTCAAGGGGATTCTCTTGACTTTTCTGTGCTAATAATGGCGCCTCAATGATGACGCCGACTGCCATGCAGGCGAAACGTCTGGGAATGTACCAAATAAATTGTCCGATGCTGCAATGCAAGAATGCTATGGCAGAGGAGGCAGGAGTATGCACGTTCCATAAGGTCCCTGTAACTTCGACCAAATTGTGTAAACGATGCCAAATCAAAATCATGTAACTAGAGTAGATTGCGATCAAACCATCTTGGTCTTCATACATACAATATCATGATATAAAATAATATCCCAAAAGTCCCTGATATTTATAAATTTATAATATGAAAGTTCAAAATTTTGTGACACCCCTGAAGACAAGAGAAATAAACTCTTACGTCTAAATTAGCTTTCAATTATTAAGTTGTGGTGACCTGTAATGAAGCAGCTCCGGAATCGTTTTAATTAGATATACTCTAGGCTAAAACTGCAAACAATTCTAGATGGACACAATATTTGAACTCTCATACACGCACGAGTTCAACGTGTTTAGTCAGAAACTCTAGCCACCCAAACATCAATCTGGAAAAACGTTCTACTCAGCTTACCATCTAAGCCGTGAACACAGACGATTAAATGTGTATCCACAGAAGTTGGTGCCGGTTCAGGGGAGAAGTACGAGTTTGCGGCGGCCACATTTGCGTAATCACTGTATAAGTGGCCCTGATATTGAGCTAGTGCCAATTCACGCTTGAGGGCCTCTTTGAGGGACACAAAGGTTAATGTGCCTGGAGTAAAGAGTTCGGTTAGTCGGCGCCCTTGATTATGTATGTCCTGGTTGGAATAATAGAGGGAAAATCCGATCTCAGAAATAAGATAGATAAAAATCACATTGGATAACATCAATAGTAAAAAGTTACTAGTTTAAATTTATATTTAATAAACTGTAAAACATATGGTATGATGACCAGGATTGTGTGGCCTTTTATATGGTCGCGGTCTCCTTTCTTTGTATAGAAGTTGCTTGATCCTGTTTTCGCAACTTACTACTATTGGGAGGAAGACCTAGAGGGACGCACCTTGTCCGGAGTTCATAGTATGCATGATAATTTCTAGAGTCGGACCGTGGACTTGACACATTCCCAGACGTTTTGCCGGCATCGTCAGTGAGTCCTGCCAATCTCAGCAACCAATTTACAACTCGTTAAAGAGACAAGTGAAATCATTACCTTGATTTACTTTCTGTCAAAACATTTATGTTATCACTTCTCGTTTTGTTCAGGTCGCTCTATCCATTTCCTACCCTCTAGTCTCGCCCTTGTCCTATCACAACTTCTGACATTTTTATATTCCACAAGAGATGTGCCCTTTTAGCAAATTTACCGTGGCGTCATCACACCTGCTTGCTTTGCTCCCCTCCTTTTCGAGTGGCTGGTTCTGCTCTAGTTTCCTCTCCGGATCTGTTTCATGGGCCCGTAGGTTCGTTTCTTATCTTTCTGGTTGACCCAACTCACTCGGTTCTAGCCCCAGCCTACTTTTACTCTACTTCCCAAGCCTTCAGTAGTACGTACAAAGTCGCCTTTTCTTCACAGCGCTTAGGCTGTGATTACGATGCATGCGTATATTATGCATTACCTTCACGCATAATCTCCTCGACTAAGCCCATGTACCCTAATCAAACTGTGGATATCCCTCTCTGGTCACCTGCTGCATCTCAAGTGGATTTTTAGTCCATTTGTTCATAAGGCCCGATTTCTGTGACCGAATCCCTCTCCCCAGTCGCGTGAAACGTCGGGCCCTCAAGTTGTAGTTGTTTATTCGAGCTGACTACTCTCACTGAAAACGTCT